TTGGCTTTCTGGGCTGCAAGTGCAATGTTGTTTCATCCAGTGGTCAGGTTCCCACTCAGCTCACCCAGGATGCCTCTGTAGCCTCTCCCTTGTGGTGCTGGCTGCAGCTCACCCAGGTGCAGACCAGCTGGGACGAAACCGAGCGCAGCTTTGTCCTTGCACGTTCTAACAAGTCAGCACTGTCTCGGCTCTTGACCTTGCTCGTTGAACACAGTAGCGATTGCTAATGAAGAGCAGTCCTGGAAGGCTCTTCAGCCTCACTGAGGCTAGCAGAAAAGCCTTTGGGTTGAGGTTCTGTGGCTTCTGGTAGCAGATGTTAACAGATGTTAGTGTGCAGCTTCGTTTGTGCCGCGTGATCGTGGACAGAAATAGCTAGTGCTGATGCCAGTGTCCTCCTTGGTCTGCAGCAAGTCCTGGTCTCCCTGGTGACTGTGGCTTAGCTTCTGGGCAGCTGTTTGTGTTGTGGTTGCCTCAGTCCTTTTTCTCTGAGATTTTATTCTTTAAAATCCTCCTTACCAAGCAGAAGGCTTTCATGGCAGCCTGTTTGTGTTGTGTGTCACGCACCGGTCTCTGAAATGGGGACTGTCTAGTTGGACATGCAAAGTTCCAGCTGAAAACTGGTAAGTCTGTGAGTCAGTACAGCAGATCCACATGCAGGGTGTAGGTGGTGCTTTGGCCAAAGGAGGTAAGGTGTATTTCCAGTGCAGCCAGCAAGGCTCTCTGCCTCTGTTGTGCTATGCCCAACTAGGAAAAAGAGTGAGGAGAGAAGTCAGGGGGTGTTTGGAATCCAACGCTACAGCAGTTTTGAGGACACCATAGCCATTGAGATGTAGCAACCAGTGTTTCCTTGAGAAGTGTAATGCTTTATGTTCCTGTATCTGCTTGCCAGTATGTCTATTACTGCATTGCAGAGCCTCTTCCTGAAGGACAAATCTAGGTAGTTTATGCAGGAAGGATGTCTTTCCCTGAGCTTAAAGTGCCTGTGGTAACTCGGGAGCCTCAACTCTTACTGATAGACAATGGCAGCTTGATTGTTTTGGTTTTTTTTTCTTTGCTGTGGTTGTGTTAGAAACTGCTGGTGAATTAGGTTCCTACTCAAATGAGGCATATCCTGTCCTCTCAAATTAGAAATGTTTGGAAGTGTTCTGTGGCACTGTGTTGTCTGTTCTGTGGCTTGAAGACTGACAGTTAATTTTGCAGCAAGTCACAGGCCCATTTTAGCAGTGTGTAGCTGTGTGACTTATTATTCAGCGACCAAAATGAAGTCATCCACCGTATGTGCAGTTTAGGAGTTCAATATCTTGACTCCATCTATGTTTTATTTTAGTTGTAGGCTCTTCCAGAAGAGTTGCATGCCTGTCTGTGGTAAGACCTGATTTTTTGTTGTTGTTTAGCTTGATTTCAGTGGGATGATGTCTCACTTTTTCAGCAGAAGCAAACCGTCGAGGCGTATCAACCCGACCCCGGTGAGTGCTGAGCGTCCCCTCTCCAAACCAAAGATGTGCTTCACCTCCACGCCTGTCAGCCAGTCTCCAGCTGCTCGGTTTTCATCTGGGGCAAGCCTCGAGGCCCTTACTGCTGTCCAGGAAGGAAACCTTATGCCTGTGATAAGCAACAGCCTTCAAGAGGAGAGGGAGATGCTGAAGAGAGAACGGTACAGTCTGAGTGGGGTGATGTTAGGCTTGTATTGAGTTTTAATTCTCTTGTCTTAAGGTGGTACCCATTATCAGGGACTAGATGTTAAGGTCCTTAAGGTCCCTTCCAACCCAAACCATTCTGTGATATGAAGGGACCAGAAGAATATCTAAATTAGATATTGGTGACCTTAAACCAATTTGCTTGAACCCGAGGCTGATTCTGGTGTCAGAATAGGATATTAGTGCAGCTAGCTCATGATTGTCATTTTAGAGGTGTGCTGACTCTGGAACAGTGACCGTGACCTCATCTTCAGATGTTTGGTCAGTCCTCATTGCTCCTGTAGGATTGCTTCTTCTTGGGCGTGCACACATGGATCTCCTGTGCAGCTTCCCTTAGACCACACAGCTGAACCAAGTGGGTTTGACCTGGTGAAGCTAGGCCGTGTTCAGAGATTGTGCCTGTGATTAAAAGCATGCTCTGGTTTGAAGAAGATGAGGTAATGATGTAAATGTGGGGAAAATATTAATGATTTTGCAAGGTAGACATCCTAGCACAAGCTTCCATTCAGAAAAAACAGCACATGAGTAGCATGAGATTCTAGTTTAAAAGCTGCTACTGCAGTTATCTATTGAAAATTTTTGTGCTGGGAGATGAGGTGAAATCTGGCTTCTAATTTTGTCTGTGCTGTTCAGTTACTGTGCGACTTCCATCCTCTAAAATTATACCAGTTAGTCTGTGTGGATTGATACTTTAGGAGAAAAAGCAAAGCACAGTAGTAGAGAAACTGTCATTTATAATTGACAGAACTGTTGCTGTGCTTTGGGCAATTTATTCTTGAGGAAACGCCTCAGGACGTGCGGGTGGAACTCTTTTCCTGCTAAGCCTTGCAGTTCAGTTCTAGGACCAGAACTGACTGAAACAGACCCAGTAGGGTCTCATGAGTTACTGGCTGTACTGGATCTGTAACAGAATAGCTCAGGCTTCAAACTTGCCTCTGTACATTTCCGTGAAGCACCTATTCCAGTTAAATAACCTTTCTAATCCTGTGTAGAGACTAATTTGTTGTTCATTGCAGCAGTTCCACTAGAAATAGGCCAATAGAAGAAGTTCCTTGCTGCAGTTAAAAACGTTTCTGTCTTCCCCACAGCCTTTAAAGTGACTTTTAAAAAAGATTAAACTTTTGAGACAATGTGGTAAGAGGAGATGGGATGTTCCATTGGGATTTTTAACAGTCCTTTGATATTGGTTTTACTGGCTTTTTTCCTGCTTCTCATGTGTCTTATGTATGCCACTCTGCTGCTGCATTTTGGATGGCTTATGTAGGTATATTTTTTTACAATATCTGTGTATTTAGCTGAGTGATCAGTGTTGATCTACTGAAGTAGTTTGTGCCTTCAGTCATTCATTTCCCAGTATGGGATTTCGTCAGTTGTTATGTTGCCTTTCCACTTAATGGTATTGGATCTTCTCAGGACATTGTCAGCTTACAAATACATCTGAAGGTATGGATGTGAACCTTACTCCCACAGATTCTGAAAAATGTCTAGGTGTCAGAAACTGTACACACAAAAACTGTTTCTTTTAGGACCTGTTCTCTAAGAGATTCCATGTCCTCAACAAATGCCAGTTTAGATGAGAAGCAATAACATAAGTTAGATAATTTGGTCAAAGTGGCACACTATTTTAGCAGAGCTGGAATGGGAATGTGATTCTTCTGTCTTTTGATCGTTAGCCCCAAGATCCTTTGTCATTAAGGGAAGGGTGAGTTAAATTGCTAAGTGCTAAAAGCAGCTTGAGACAGTGTAAATGACATGGTTGGTAATTGCAGGAATTCCTTCATGCTAGACTGCAAGAGAAAGATCTCTTGTGGCTGCTGTGTATCTTCTTCAGTCACATGTTCTCTTGCTGCTCTTGAATTTCAGATGCAAATTGCTGCACCAGGCATCCTCTCCTGCAGGGCTCTCTCTGGATCCTGGTACTCCCACGAAGCCCAGCTGTGCGCGCAGCGCTGCCCTGCCTGCTGAGAGCCACCTGGTGACCTGTGCAAATCCTGCCAGGGTTTCCTGCAAGAAACAGCTGGAGTGTCTGGCACAGCTCTATTCGTCGTGTATAGCAGGTGAAGACCCCAGAGCTGGGAGACTGACCTCTCTTTGAGCTTTGAACTTGCATGTGTGCTGTGAGGGGGAGGTAGATGAGAAGTGAGAGTTGTGGGACAGTTACAGTGTACAAACAAATGACATCTGGAAAAACAAATTAAGCCATCACAGTTATTGGAATAAATAGATACTAGGTAAAAATTTAGGGGAGGAGGTGAAGCTGAGGCAGTACTCTGAGCTGCAGCAGGCTGAGGTTGTATGGCCGTATCTGAAACCAAACTCTTCCCTAAGGCATCTTTGCTGTAATACCCATATTGATTTATGCTGTGGCTATGTGTGGGGAGGGAGTTCTTTGCTGACTGTGCCATGGAACAGGTGTCTACCTCTTTACATTTGTTTATTAAAGCAGGTCAGTACTCAATATCCACCTTTAGTATCTCATTTGCTCTCTTCCAGAAAACTTGGTACCAAATATTTTTCTGGAGCTCTTTTTTGTTCTGCAGCTTTTGACATCTAAAGGCACTTCGACAGCAGAAGATGAGGCTAATGACCTTGAACTCAGTGAAAGAACTGAAGGTAAGCAATAGCTTTAAGGGGAAGGATAGTACTTCCATGGAGTGATAACGTAGTGTAGAGTCATTGCCTTTAGCTTGGATAGTTAGTTTTAAAATCCATAAAAGTATTTTATTACCACTGGGACTCATCTGAGATGCTGACAAAAATCCTGTGTGTGTGGCAAGTGCTTCCACAACATGATAGCATGGGGTTGCTAGATTCTGTTTGAATCTAGTTTTCTGGTATTGTGTGACATTTGTTGTAGCTACTTGCTAACAGTGACATTGAGAGAAGGATGGATATGCTGGGGTCTCTCTGCATTGGTTCTTGCAGCTCAGAAGTGCTGTTGGCCTGCTCTGTGTCTCTTAAATTGCAGGTTGAGTTATGAGTGCACAGGATCCATCTATGCAGAGGTGTAATCGTTGCATTTGTTTTTTGAAAAATTCAGAGTTAAGTTTGTTGCACTTGATACCTTGATATGGATATAAAACCCAAAATAATGATTAGTTTGAATAGTTTGATTGACCTTTGTTTTGCCACTCACTGATTCTTAGGGCTGAGATTAGGAACAATCTAGCTTTATTTTTTTTTTTCAGATTAGAAATCAAATAATGACTTCAAGATGAGACATCCCTCCATCTAGATGTCCCAGTTTGATTGACCTTTGTTTTGCCAGTCACTGATTCTTAGGGCTGAGATTAGGAACAATCTAGCTTTATTTTTTTTTTTCAGATTAGAAATCTCCAGCTATGGAGCTAAAAGAGCTAAGGACTGGTTGCAGTTGGTCTGTGTTTAGTCCTGCATCTATCTATTGTTGTCCAGAATGTTGAGAAGGAATCTTTTCTTTCCCATACAGAATTAAACAATTCAATTGCCGTTAGTATAGAAAGGATAGGGATGGGAGGATTTGTCTGTTCAGGTGGCAGGGAATGGGAACTTCTGGAAATTGCATGCTGGTCTAGAAGACTATTTTTGGATGTGGCAGTTCCTGCTGTTGCCTCATGTTTCTTGTTTTCCCTTAGATGCCCCAGGGAGACAGCACTTCCGAAGCATCCACAATTGTGTTTATTTTGCTGTTCAAGTCTTGGATTATCAGTTTGAGTGAGTTGAGTATTTTTTTTTCCCCCTGCTTGTGTCTATAGATGTGTGTGAGATATTAAGCAAGTTTGTTTAGAGTTTAGAGCTTTACCACTTACAGGCATGGAGTTGTTAATTTTCCCTCAAAACATACAACTTCACCTTGGTTTAGATGTCCATGAGTTTCCCTTGCACTGGTCTGTCTACTGAAATTCAGTGTAATTATGAAAGAAAGGGCAAGTCATGAGCTGGGAGCAGTAAAAAGTGACCCTACAGATGTCAATAGGCTTTCATGCTGGATGCTGGGGCTTAGAACTCTTTACTTGGTACCCTCATGAAAAATGAGCATAAACATTTCTTTAGGTCTGATCATATGTTGTTTCTGTCTGTCTGGGTTTTATCTGTGCTGTCTTTGCAGAATTATTTCCCATTTAGAGAAGGGGCTGCTGAAGCTTTTGGCTGAAAATGAACGGATTGCATCTTTTTCTCCCACCTTGCACGAGAGGCTCAGGCAGGCTTACGAAAGCAGCACAGCCAAGGTAAAATATGGCAGACCTCAGCTGACATTGCTTCAGACCTTTGTGGTGTGGCTCTTTTATTTGTGACAGCTTTGATGTTAAATCTGATTCCTTCTACTTCGAGTACCGTGTCGTGTCATCTTTGGCAAGTGCCTGAAATCTGCTTTTTTTCATTGTCTGTGGGTGAGTGAATTGCTGTGTCCAGTGATGTTATCTGCAAATTGCTGCTGGCTGGCTTCATGTGCTCCAGGTCCTGACCTCAGCCAGCAGCTTCAACAGAGTTAAGTTTTTCTTTGGAGATCCTCTTCTGATAAGCACTGATCCCACAAGAATGGTTGGTTAGATGCCATATCAGGATGTAGTTTGGGAGAAGTGGATGTTTCATAGCTGCAGACTCTTATTAGGCCAATTCAGAGGAGACAGTGCAGCTGCTGAAAGCTGGTTTCCTGATGTCTTCAGCTGGGTTAGGGGAGTAAAGCTGCATGGTTGGAATGCCTGCCTTAATGGGTTTTGTATCTTGTTTCATTTCTCTTTTAAAAATGGAAATCACTCTTGGCAAAGAAAGTGCTGTGTACTTTCTGAGACTAGGACATGTCTATAGCTGAGATTTTTAGTCAAAGCTGTAAATAAAGGTCTACTATTACTTGAAGACATAGCTTTTCAAATAGGAGGAGGAGGAATAATGACACAGGAACTGTCAGCCACTATCCTGCATTCTTTGGAGCCCTGTATTGAAGGTACACTTTGTCTCTTCACAGATCATTCTTTCCACACTGTGTCAATACTGGTTGCAGTCTGTTCTGCAGAGGTTTCTTAGAGAGGCAAGATGCTTCCACTGATAATTTTAAGTGTTCCTGTCTCTATAGTGTAGTGTAGGCTGTAAAGCTGTTGGTGGTTACTAGCAATTAGCACCTAGGAAATGGGTAGTGTCTGAAGAGACAGTACCAGTGGAACTTGCTTTCCTAATCATGTCTTCTCACTCGGATTGTTGGATAAACTGGAGACTCAAGTTAGTCATGGCTGCTTTTATATTTCTAACAGGTGTCTCCCCTGCTGCCATGCTCTGTGCAGTCTGTTTCCTTCCAGCCAGAAACTGACAATCGCTCCAACTTTCCCAGTGACAGAGCATTTCACATATTTAAGAAGCAAAGGTAAGTTTCTTTTACTGTTGCTGTATGGCTCACAGGGTATAATCTTTCCATGACTGTGAAAAAAAGATGTTAAGAATGCTACATGCTGTAGAAAAAGATGAGATTTTCACTCTAATTTAAATACAATTTTTTTAAAAAAAGTCTGTCCGTGTTAACTGCAGGACCTAAATGCTTAATGTCTTTAGAGAAGAACAGCTTAATCCTTCAGGAGTTATTGAGACTTCTGGTAAATGCCAGCTCAGTGTGTCACTTGACTGGATTGTTTGTGTCCAAAGCTGGTGTGCTTCTGTTCTTCCTGCCACCTCCCTCCATGCCTGCAGCAACAACCTGAGGGGAGAATGGCAAGTTGTCTTGGTTGTGTTTTTTAATTCTTGTAGGTATTATTTCATGTGGCTTATTCTTTCCTGCCTCTCAGTCTTCAGTATGTTTGGTAATGGGTGTTCTGGTCATTCCATCAGAGCTTGGGCATAACAAGCTTAAGCACTTGCTGTCAAAGACGTGGAAAATGGAAAGCTGCAGAAGCACCACCAGCATTAATGAGTTTTGCAAAGATATCTGAATGCTTAGAGGCTCGAGTTGTTTAATCAAGAGGTAGATTCTTGCAGGGGTATTTAGGAGCAATTGAATATTCAGTTGTTGTTCCTTCAGATTTTGAACAGTAGGAATTCATCCTCTTCAATGTCTTGATTTGCAGGGATATATTTTATGAGCTGCTGCGTGAGTGGGAGGACAACCGTGAAAAAACCGGCTGGGACTTCGAAAGGGTGCTGGGCAACAAGATCAGGTAGGAGTGTTCCACAGCTCCAGTGGCTCTGCAGTGGGGCTGCATTGCTGGTGCAGCGTACTAGACTGGGCATTCCATGTCCTCCTAATGGGCTTCCACAGCAGGCTGTGGGGAGCTGTGCTTCCTGAAAGACTCTTCATGAAAACTTGCTTCTGTATTTAGAAGTATCAACTGTTAGCTTAAACATTAATGAGCCGTAAGTGGCAAGGGCTGAATAGGATGTCTTGGTGTAGCTCTTGCCCTGTTCATAATCACAGGAAGAGACTCTCACAACCAGTATGTGGTTGTTGTGTACACTAGTGTGTGCACTTCATGTTTCCAGTGCCCCACTCGTCTTAAGCAGGGAGAAATTTGCTTTATGTTCAGAAGCTCTTCTAATTATTTCAAGGGCTTCTAGTGTATTGGCTCTGAAAACAAGGCAACTGTGGCTCTTTCTATGGGAAGTGAACCATTTTATTAATGTGTTGCTTTATCAGATTAGACTATATATAAAGAAACTTATGCTTTTGAAAGCAGTGCCCTGTGGGTTTCTCTGTTAGTCATAACCACCAGCCTTCTCAAGTTACAGTTATGAAGGTGACTTTTCACCACAGGAGCAAAACAAAGCTGAGATTTAAATGGAAAAACTTTCCTCCTCTTCAGGCATCAGAAGTACTGTTGCTGTTTTCTTGCTTGCACACGTGTGAACTCTCGACTCACTGCGCCGCACAGGGAAGAGTGGGAGCTGAATAAGTTAATTTTTTCCCTAAATAGCAGCATTATTGCAGGAAAAGAAGAGAGTCAAATTTTCATCTCTAAAGCTGCGTTTGCTCTGCAGGTGCTCAGGGAGAATTTTTGTTTCCAAGGTCAGCAGATGGGGCTCAGTGCTTGGGAGACCTAGTTATAAGGATGTTGCTTTTTCAGTGGCCTTTGGAGATTGCTTTCTTAAAAGCAGTTATTTTGTGCTTTTGAGGTTAGAACAAGTTTTTTTTTTTTTTTTGTGCCACAGAGATCCAGTCAACATTTTGTGATGTTTTCCCTCACAGGGCCATGATGGCTCACCTGTCTGCAACCTGCAACCACAGCCATTTTGCCAGGCTCTTTCAAAAACAGCTTATCCAGGTAAATTGTTTTTGCTTTTTTTTTTTTTTTTTAATGAAGATATACATCAAAGCTGATTTGGTCCTTCCTTGGCCTGAGAAAACAAATTGTGTCTTGCAAGTGTCCTTGAGATTTTCCTGTTGAAACTTTTTTGGAGAGCCAAGTTTTCAGGATGGGAATTTCTTTCCTTTACCAGAAATAAGTCAGTGATAAATTACTGATAAACTCAGTGTAAATCAAAGCTAAGGCACACTGAGCACATCATAAGCTGTAAGAATTTATTCTTCATGGTTATTTACTTTGACCTTCTAATTTTAGAACAAGTATAATTTTAAAAAATGTTAAGGATCTATTTTGCCATGTATCAAATGCAGAGATTCCTAGTTATGTTCAGTAGCAACAGGAGTGCAGAGAGTCTGGTTCTTCTGTGTTAACACTGCAGCAGCCCCTTTTGATACAGTACTGCTCTTGTAGCTTACAGGGGGGCTTTGGCCAGTTTCAAGCATCATCTGACTTCACTGTAGCTGAAGGAATGAAGGAAGAAAAGATGCTTCTGATTGGAGTATAGATATTCACTATATTCTCTATAAATGGCTGGCTTAGTGGTGGGCTCCTTTTGGAACAGAACAGACACAAGCCCCTGCCTTGAGTTGTAGCCCACAGACATTGCCAGGAAGCAGTAAGCTGTTGGAATGTTGAAGTCTCCTCTGGTGTCCAGTCTGAAATTGCATCAGTGTCCTGGCTGATGTGTGTGCCCAGGGAGACTGTGGGAACAAGAAGAGATGGACTTTGTTGTGCCCACAGCATTTCCAGAGTCCTCTCTACCCATGGCTTCTGAGTGAGGACTGCAGGGTTTCATGAGGGTAACCAGCACTTAAACTAATAACTAGGAGCCTTCAATCAATCCCATGTGTCTGACTAGGAAGTGATTTGTGGAATCTCATATGTACTATGAAACTCATGCAGAAAAGAACCTAGACTGAGGATTTGTGTCAAGGTGTGATAATTTAAAGGTTGGGAGTTGTAGCAAGATGCTCTTCTGGGAGGAGAGGAGGCTTGGTTTGGAGTAAATGTAACCTAGTAGTTGTTTGCTTCCTATACATGATTAATGTTGCTTTTTAGTATGATCTCTGATTGAATCTATCCTGATGTAGCTGCAGGAGTCTGCAGTCATCTTTTCATTTTACTCATCATTGCTGTCTGTGTGTTGTGGGGAGGAGGTGGGGGATATTAAAAGCTGGTCTAGGAATGCATAGTGTAGATCCTTAGAGGCTGGGCTTAAGTGTCCTACTGAGTTTTTCATGAAGACCACACAAGTGGTTAGTGTTCTCTCCACACATCCACATATAGCCTGCTAGATGTGCCTTAAACGTGAGTCAGATGTGTAGGATTGGAATTCCACCTCTGAAGATCCCTAGGCTGTTTATGGCCAAGGTGGGTAGCGTGGTTTGGCACCAGGAAAAGAGATCTTTTGTCAGGGGGGTGCCTGAAAAGGCCGTGCTTGGTTTACTCTGGAAACAAAGTCTTGTGAGAAAAGGGGAAAGAGATGAAGTGTAATGATGCCTTAGTACAGATTTTCCATCTCACTACTCTTTCTGTCTCCTGAAGATGTGTAAAGGTCCTCTTGGTGGTGGCTCAAGCTGGGGAGATGCTCCAGACCAGGATGTCCTTAATATGCTGGGTTCTGATAATCTGAGCCGTCTGAAGAGGCTGCAGGAAAGATTTGTTGTTCCTCAGAGCATCAGAGGACCTTGTCCACCCCCTTCGTTCCCAGGGTGCCAGCAGTTCTTCAGGGACTTCATCCTCAGTGCAGGAAGGTTAGCTGCCCCTGCCTGCCGTGTCCTGCACCGAGGGGTGGGTGAGGGGACCACCAGCACGTTGCTCTTGCAGTGGGGAGTGTCTGGAGAGCTTGGGGCATGGGGTGGCCTAGGGAGAGCAGATCAGAAATGCTTCTGAGCTGCATCATACCACACGGAGTGTTCTTGGCCAGCACACATGGTGAACATGGTAGTAAGCAGGTTCTGTCTGAAGCACAGAATTTGTTTGTCAAGAGTTTCTTGTGTGGTGGTGCACGAAGCTGAGGAGTCGCAGGATGAAGCCAGGTTCATGGTTTTGTTTAATGAGTTTTTCACAATCCACAGCATGTAGGAATTGTGAGCTATGGGAGATTTGAATCTTAAATTCAGTTATTTTACAGCTTCAGCAGATCTGTATTACTGTCCTTATGCTGGGACTTGTTAAATGGCATCTCTTTAAAAAAGTGTGTGGAGAGGAAAGGGGTCAGCCAGTACTAGTCTTGTCCCTTGCTTTCTTGCCTGCCTGTTATGTTGGATGTCTGCTGGTGCTTGATACAACTCATAAGAGAAGCTTGAATTTTTGTAATGCTTTAGTTGAGGTTCTACTGCTGTTTTCAGCCCAGTCTGACTCATCATCATCTTTTGCTGAAGTTACCAGTTCAATCAGCACCTGATGGACAGTCTGTGCCTGAAGATACTCGAGCTGAACAGCCTTACTCTGGTGGAGCATGAGCACAGCGATGGGGAGGCAGATATGGATGAACAGGTAAGCTTAGGTTTCTGCCAGCACATCTGGCAGGAATTTCCCTGAGCTGTCCCAATTACTGGCTTGATTGTGAGTTGCTTGGAGCTTCCACTGCTGTACTGCAGGACAAGAGCTTCATTTGGTTTTGTCATAACTCTGCAACTTGGTTATGGATGTCTGACCCCTTGCCATTTACCTGTGCTTCAGGGTGCATCAGAGAACCATGTCAGAATGATAATGCACAACAGTTTGGGAAGTGGGAGCTGCTTTTTGGGTTGTTAGTACCCTGTGTTCAAAAAACAGGCAGATGTGGTACTTCAGGACATGGTTTAGTGGTCACAGTAGAGTTGGGTTGATGGTTGGACTCAAGCCTAGAGATCTTTTCCAACCTTTGTGATTCTATGATCCATGAAGTAACTAAGTCCAGTTGTTGCACTTGGTTGCAGTAGCTCCTTGTTACTGTTCTAAAGATTTTAGTTAGAATGAATTTGTAGTCATACCTGTTCAGATGTTTCTTCACTGATGTACACCTACAAGAGGTGTCACAGCTCATAGCTGGTTAGCAAAGTAGCAGCCAAGAGTTCATGAAGGTTTGCAGAGCAGCAATGGTAAAAAGGAGGCAACACGAGAGCAGCTCTCTGCCCTCTCATTGGCTCCAGAGTTGTTCATATGAAGATGTGATTGAGCAGCTGCTTGGTTTAGAAAGCCCTTGAGTTACTAACTTCTCCTTGTGAGGGGAGCAGTGGAGGCAGAAGTAATTTAAAATGCTTGACAAACGTGCATTTTGGAAACTTCCCTTTGCTGGAGGCGGCGATGAAGCCGTGTGCTCCTGTGAGCTGCAGGGAGTGGAAGCTCAGTGCACGCAGCTGCTGGGCCAGTGGAGGGTGGCCTGGCCCCAGCTTGCTGTGTCTTTCCCCCTGAGGACGAGAAGAAGCGTTTTGCCGTGGCCCTGCTGAGCCTGCGGCTCCTGGCCAGGTTCCTGGGCTTCCTGGTGTTCCTGCCCTACCGCTCCGCCGAGCAGCCAACCGGAGACTTGCAGGACTCTGCAGTAGCCTTGAGAAACCAAGTAAGAAACCAGACTCTTCTGAGACATCTAGTGTGGCCTTCTGCTTGGCAGGCAGGTTCTCAGATCCAGGGAGGGGGTAATGGGTGGATGGTGATGCTCTTTCAAAGCGAGCCGTGGCTCCTGGGGTTACGTCATACTGCTGCACACTCTGGGGTTGGGAACAAAGAGAGAGGAGTTTGTGTAAGCTAGAAAAGAGGGAGCAGTGCCCTGATGGGGGGGGACTCAGTCTTCTGTTATTTCTGATAAAATGGGGCCGTCATACCAGAACTCTGACCTAGCTAAGAAGACTTGTATTTGTAGTGTAAAATCCATCTCCCATGTTTGTGTTTGTTTCTCACCCATCTCCTAGCAGCATGTTGTCCTGAGTGCAGGGGAGCAGGGGTTAGACCTGGACTCCACCTGTAAGGCTTATAGCCTTACTTTTGAAAGTCCCAGTGGGACCTCTCATTGCCATCACAGTGTGGGTTTTGCCTCTGCTTATGTGCCAAGAAATGTTTTCATTATCCTGCAAGTCACATCTTATCTGTACAGAAGATAAAATCCTAGAAAGAAAGGTCAAGATAAGAAATACTTAAAGTTTTTCTTTAAGTATCAAAAGGTAACTTCAAGCTGCTGCTTTAACTTCTGTTGTCCATTAAGACCCTGCCTGTCCTGGATGTGTTAAAGCTTCTGAGACAATCTATTTGGGATCAGCGTTCTATCCTCACTATTCCTTGGATTGTGGAGTACCTTTCCCTTGTGGATCATATTGCCCCCTTCCTTGATTACTACAGGAAAGTATTTTGTCTCCTGCTGCAGGTATACAGGTAAGAGCCTGGGAAAGGATATTTGTGAAGAACTTCTCTGTGAAGGTTTGTTTGCTTACTTGAGGTGTCTGGTGTCTGAGAATGCTAACCATGATTCTATTAGTTTGAGATTCTTATAAATAACCATTCCTTATCTTACATAAAGCTGCAAAGGGAGCACACCCTAAACTCAGAGATTAATATTTGGTTTAAATATATGAGTTTTCACTAAATAGAATTCTTTAAATCCCTGTTCACTCATTCTACATCTGCAGCTGTGAATTTTAAACCCTGAGTTTGAACCTTAAACCCACAAGGTCTCCCAGGCTTAAATAATGCTCTAGTTTTCTTTCCTATATGCATGGGGAAAAATATGAAGCACATTCTAAAGTTACTTAACACTGGCTTTTCCAGTGTAAACTAAAACCAGCATGTTATTCAGATGCACATGTACAAAAAAGGTGGAGCTTGCTCTCCACTCTTTAGGCAGATAAGTAAGGAAGGTGTGTTTTGGGATTCTTTTTCCTTAATGAAAATGGAGCTACTGAAAACTAACTCTCTTTTCCTGCTTTTGCTGTATGGCAGGTTAATGGTCCTTTCTGAAGACAAGGAGATGAGTTTCCTGAACAAGCTGCTGATCCTTGCAGTTCTGGGTTGGCTTTTTCAGGTAGTCTTCTCTGTGCACACAGCTCTTCCCTGAAGGAAAAGCAGGGCACAGAACTCAATAGAAGATAGTATTGGAATGAGTTAAAACACTGCAAAACAGTATTTTGGTTTTTTGTTTGGTTGGGTTCCTTAGACTAGTGTAAAGAATCCTCTGTGTTCTGATGGAGAATAGTTTTCCTTTAGTGGAATTGTGAGAAGCAACATTATTTTCTAACAGGAGTTCTAATTGCTGCTGAAGCACATTCTGCATCCTTGTAAGCAAACTGACAGCTGATTGCTCTTAGAACTGGAAGCTCTGTCACACAGCTGGAGTGCTAGCTGGCAGCCCTGAATGACTAGGGGCTTTTTTTGTCTGATAAAGGGATGGGCATGTGATGAACTTACAAAATCCTTTTGCACCTCCAGTTGGAAGGGAGGTGACTGCTTAGCAGGAACCTCTGGGCTCCACAGTTTGATGGAGACAAGGAGCTACTGGAGAGAGTGCATGGGAGGGCTGTAAAGATGAGGGGACTGCATCATCTCTCTTACAAGGACAGGTTGAGAGATCTGGGTCTGTTCAGCCTGGAGAAGGTTGAGAGGAGATCTTCCCAATGTTTATAAACATCTAAAGGGTGGGTGTCAAGAGGATGGGACCAGTCTCTTTTCAGTGGTGCCCAGTGATAGGACAAGGGGCAATGGGCACAAGCTGGAACACAGAAGTTCCACCTCAACGTCAGTAAAAGCTTTTTAGTGTGAAGGTGACAGAGCACTGGAACAGGCTGCCCAGAGAGACTGTGGAGCCTCCTTCTCTGGAGGCTTTCAAAACCTGCCTGGACACCATCCTCTGCAGCCTCCCCTGGGAGAACCTGCTTTAGCAGGGGGTTAGACTGGATGATCTCCAGAGGTTCCTTCCACCCCCTGCCAGTCTGTGAACCTGTTGGGAAGGTGAGAGGTGCTGGATGGGGACTATAAGGGAGGTGGCTGATATTGCTGCAATCAGACTAGCTCTTTATTTTTCTGGAAAGGTTGTCCTTAGGGCAGAGAGAACCCTTAGTGCTAGTGGCTCTTTCCATAACAGCTTGGTGAGATTTTACTGTCCTCTTTATCAGAAGTGGTGTAAGCTACTTGCTGCTGTTTGTGTTCTAACTGCTGGGGTTTCTTTTCAGGTTCCATCAGTCCCTGAGGAGCTGTTTTTTACCACTGATGTCAGGCAGGAGGGGTTGATGAGGGATACTGTGACATCTGATCGGGCTTTGGTGAGTTAGTGCTCTAGCATGTCCTCTCACTCTGTGGATGAGAGTGGACCTAAAATTAAAATTTTATCAGCAACTTTGCTTCAATGCAGCTGCATTAGACATAAATAGGGCAATGGGTGTGATGCCTCAGGATTGTAAACTGTGTTACAGCTCTGGGGCTTTTGTCAGGCAGGAGCCATCTCACCTGCTGCAATGGCTTGCAGAATAGATGCCAAGTTTATGCTGGAGGCTCAGAAGCTGTTTTCCTGCTCACTGTGGTACAAGGTGAGCTGATGGAACTGAAGCTCTTCCAGCAATAAGTGATAGTAGCAGTGAACTCAACAGAAATAAGATGGGACTATCAGAGCAAGGTGGCTGTCTTTGGAGTCACCTGTTTTCCAGTTGCATGATAAAGGGTAACTGAACTGAAAACAGCATGAAGCAGAAAAGGAGGTGAGTTTATGGCATGTGTGATGCTTCAGGTAACTCCCAGAGGTGCAAGAGAATACATGGTGTTCCTTGCAAAACCAGCAGCATGCTTGTTGAGATACATGTGTCTGGTTCTAATTAGAAAGTTCTGCCTTGCCCTGTGTCTTCAGAGGCAGAGATAAGATGCAGAGAGCAACTGAGTTTTTTGGGTTTTTTTTGCAAGAGAATGCAACATCACTGCCCATGTGGATGAGATCTGGAGTTGCTTTCCATCCTGTGCCTCTGGCAGCACTGTGTAGTACTAGGGTAACCTTCTAGTGGGTTTGGGTGAAGATCCCTGTGGAGGTATAATGCATAGCAGATGTAACTCATTTATTCTCCTCCATGGAAGGTTTCTCTTTGGCAAGTCCCAGGTGTGGCAGCAGTCTTGGTTCCCTTCTGTGACCATCAGCTTTCAGCTGGGCTTTGACAGTGATCAGAAGCAAAGGCTGAGCTGGCTGAGCTGCACTGACTGAATGGGGAGCAGCTCACTCTGTGTTGCAGGGCTGGACTGAACACTTGGGCTGCAAAGCTCATAATCTTACTGTGGATTTGGGATCCAGTTATTTGTAGTATTTTCATGGGAAGGCAGTTCTGAAGCCTGCCTGTGACCACACACATGGAATTTCTGCCTTGCTGGAGACTGTCTTTCCTGCTATCTCCTTTAAGCATTTCCTTCCTTTTCTCACCAGGACTCTGTACCCTTGGTGGATCAGCAGTTACTTTATACCTGCTGTCCTTATCTTGGTAAGTATTTTATTTATATCTGCTATATAAATAAAATGTTTTAATATCTGTTTTTATTGATATTTTTAATTTTTATTTATATTTGTCCTTGGGTACTGTGAGTTCTCAGATCACTTTTCTTAGCCCCCCTTCTCACAACTTCAGGTCTCAGTTGTGTGTGAGTCAACCTTGCTTACAAAGCTGTACAGCAGGAGCTTGTGCAGCTGTGAACAGTGTCTGGTGAAGCTGGGGGGAGGGAGGCTACACAGAACAGCTCATCTGCAGAGCTTGAGTGTAGAGGAACAGGCCAATGAACCCTTCACAAGCTGGAGGGAAGGATTGTAAGGAGTAAGTTTACAGCTTTTCCATCCCAGGTGTAGGGAGAGCTGTTTGTGAAGCGAGGAGTGCCTTGAGCATGTTTCTGCTCCCAGGCAGATGGGAAGAATCCTTTTGTGCCCTGGTGCCTTTATTTGGTGGTTGAAAGATCTTCTTGCTGGGATCTGACTGCCATTGGTGAAATCCCTCCCTGTAGACAGTAGAGTCACAGATGGTGGGATGGTGCTCTGCTTCTTGGGACTTAGATTCTAGGAAAGCTGTGGGTTAAGCCTGCATCATGAAAGCTTATAGGGCTTGAACATGGCTTCAAACTTTTCCCCTGATATTTTCTTCTGACCCTGTTAGAATTGTGTAATTCTGCTTGCCTTGTTGTCCTTGCAGAATTTACAGTTCCTGCTTGCCATGCTAAAAAGGGATGCATGGAAATGACTGCTCCCTGATCCCTCTGAACAGGCCCTAGGTGCCAGGGAGCTTCTTGGAAGCCTTCTATCTTCAGAGCCTTGCCTGTCTTGCTGTGCCCTGACAGTTAAATGGGTGGCATGCCCCTCTGCTTCTCATGAAACTTCAGCTTTCACAGAAGCTGAGAGAGTCTGCTCTGGGAACAGGACTGATGATGGGAAGGTCTCTCTCTTGAGTTTTGGTTTGTTCCCTTGCTTTGGGGGTGGTGACAGCTTTTGCATGCTTCTCTGTACAGGTGAGCTGCGGAAACTGCTTGCCTCTTTTGTGGCTGGTAGTGGAGCAAAAAATGGTGGCTTTATGAGGAAAATCACTCCCACAGCTGCAGAGTCCTTGGCACCAAAGGCTTCTGTCACACAGAGGAAGCTGCAGGTAATGGCATTAGTCACAAGGGGAAGCAGGGCAAGAGAATTTTCTTGTGTGAGGGTGGGGTACATGGTAGTATCCTAATGGCAGGGAAAGAAAGGAGTGGGGCTAGGCAGCATGGGCACTGAAGTCCAGATAACTTCAGTAAACCTCCTTTCAGCTGGAACAACTAGCTTATTTCTCTCTCTGCCTCTTCATGACATTAAATGTTGGTATGCTTCTCCTACTCTGTTTTGGCTGGACTGTAGCCGTGCTTTCCACCAAAAAAGTGAACTGTGTAGGAGCCTACAGGATCTCCAGCCTGTAATTAAAAGAGGATCCTTTCTTTCCAAAAACAAACCCTCTAGTGCCTCATTACTAGTAGGTGCTATCAGAACTCTTCCATTCTTCTCTTCACTGGGCATTTGCTTTTGCACCTTCATTAACCCTGATAATGAGCTTTGGGTTAAATGGTTAGGAGGAAATAGCAAATATTTTACAGGGGTGCTGAATGCTGCAGTAGCAGAAAGTTGTACTGTAGGCAAAGTGCCTGCCTTTCAGCACAGAGCCAGAGGATGGCTCCCTCCATTCCTGTGCTGGGAGGAGGAGGATCTGGGTGAAGTTCTCTAACCAACTGTAGCACTCTTCTCTTGAACAGGCAGAGTTGGAACAGGCCTTCTTCCACAACCAGCCTCCATCCCTACGGAGAACGGTTGAATTTGTGGCAGAAAGGGTGGGATCCAACTGTGTTAAGCACATCAAGTAAGTGCTGATGATCTGTTCTGTGACTTAAGAAGTAACTTTAATGAGGCAAAGTGTTGATCCTTTAAAATTATATGTATGGGGGAAAGAAAGCTTCCCTCAGAACGTGCTGTATAACAGAACACTAAGGCTGTGACAGCAGGGTCCAGCAACACTTGTGGCCATCATAGAGAGGAATTTGTGAAAGGATCCAGAGAGGAGGGTTATATGACTGAGGTGCTTGGAATGTGAATGTAGTGCAGTGTTTTGAGCCTTTATATTTCTTTCAGAACGTTCTTGCTAATGATAGGAATATCTCAGGTCAGAAGGGACCTCTGGAGTTTGTATGATCCAAATTCCTGCTCAGAGCAGGGCCAGCTTTCAAGTTAGATCAGGTTGCTTGGCACCTTCACCAGTTAAGTTGTGAAAGTCTCTAGGGATGGGGATTCAGCAGCCTCTTAGTACCGTGTTTCAATGGTTAATTTTCCCATGCTTAGTGAAAAATGTTTCCTTGTATCCTATCAGAATTTTCCTTGTTCCAGCTTGTGCATGTTGCCTGTTAACCTCTAGCTGCACAATTCTTGGAAGAATCTTTGTGTCTTCTCTATAACCCTTCCTTCTCCCTTTGCATGCTCCTCTTCTCCAGTACTCTTTTGTGCTGGGGTCTCAAAGCTGGACACCGTGCTCCAGGTGCAGCCTCACACTGGTGAGGGGAGCAGTAACTTCCCTGGACTTCCTGGCTGTGCTGTTGCTGCTCTTGGCCCAGTGTAAGGTTGGCCTTCTTTGGACACAGCTAATGTGTCTAGCTTCTCTACTGGGAACCCCAGATCCTGTTCTGCAGAGCTGCTCCCTAGCCAGTAGACCTCAGCCCGTACAGGTTGCCCAGTCACCACCTCATTGTCAGCCCATTTCTCCACCTTGTCACAGTCCTCCTGAATGGCAGCAGTGCCCTCCAGCATGTCACTCATGAGCTTGCTGAGTTTGCACTGTCCTGTTGTCCAGCTTGTTGAGGACAATAATTGGTATCAGCCCACAAGGAATGCTGGTTGTAGTGGGTTGCTGTTGACATCTTGGAACATCTGACCACCCTCCATTGAGGGTATAAGAGAACACACCTGTAACCATATATGTTGCTACTAAAACCTAAAGGCTTTTGTGTCTTGAGTCTTGGTCCTATGTTGATATTTTCATCACTTCTTTCATCTTTACAAAAAGAGCAAAGAAGTGGTACAGTGCTAAGCACAGTGTGATTCTTTTTTAGCAAAGTGGTTTCACAGAATCGAGGGTATTGCTGCCAGAGAAGACACCTGTAACCATATATGTTGCTGCTAAAACCTAAAGGCTTTTGTGTCTTGAGTCTTGGTCCTATTTTGATATTTTCATCACTTCTTTCCTCTTTACAAAAAGAGCAAAGAAGTGGTACAGTGCTAAGCACAGTGTGATTAATTCTTTTTTAGCAAAGTGGTTTCACAGAATCAGAGACTGGTAGGGGTTGGAAGGGACCTCTGGAGATCATCTAGTCCAATCCCCCTGCCAAAGCAAGTTCACCTAGAACAGGTTGCAGAGGATGGTGTCCAGGTAGGTTCTGAAAGTCTCCAGAGGAGGAGACTCCACAACCTCTCTGGGCAGCCTGTTGCAGGGCTCTGTCACCTTCACAGCAAAGTCTCTCCTTAGGCACTTGAAACAGGTATCCCCCTAAATTGAGGAGACAGCTGCTTACAGTATGTCTGCACTGCTTCTTGTGTTGATTTCAGGCTGTTTGATTGCTTTTTTTTTTTTGCAGGGCAACCCTGGTAGCAGAGTTGGTTCAAAGGGCTGAAGTCATGTTGCAGGACAAAGTGAAGGAGGAGGATGCTAATCATGACAAGCTGCTTGAAGAGGTGTGCACTCATCTCTATGAGGAAGGGGCCCAGGCACTCATCAAAGGCAGAGAGTAAGGAGGAAAAGTTATTGAAACTTGTGCCTTCCCTTCTCTTCTTACTGTGGAATCTGTCAGCCTAATTCTGCTTAGCCTGTCATGCTCAGGTCCTGGTCGTTGTTAATGACCTCTGCTCTTCTTAGGGTGACAGTCTGCTGCACCTCCAGCCAGTTACTGCTGGGTCTGTAGGGTGGAATAAAGGTGCTGAGTGTCCCTCTGCACCCAGCTCCACACAGACATCCACTGCAGCTGTTGTATTCCCCCTCTTGGGGAAATGGCACATTGCAGCTTGGTGCCTTGTAATTGCTCCTCCCTCCTCTGGTTCTTTTGGTCTGATGCCACTGCAGTCTCACAGCTGGTTTGGACTGTGAGAGTGGGTGAAAGTTGCTGTGGTAATGATCCCCTGAGTGTTGTCCAAGAACTTTGGCTAATCATGTGACACATTTTCTTTATTGTCTTACAGATTTTGCAAAAAGAAAGGTCCTGAGGCAGTGAGGGTGTTATTGCCAGAAGAAACATCTGCAGCAGTATGTATTTTCACTAAAACTTACTCAAGGCCTTGACTTCAAGCCTGGACCATTACCATTTTCCCATTGCTGCTTTGCTTATCCCTTAATAGCTTAGGAAATTGGAATCTGTCAATGCCCTCATTTGACTAATGGCAAAGGAGAGTCACCTCTGCCAGGCTGCCTGGGGTGTTCTGGCTGAAGTGAGAACTGCAGTCAATAGCTAACTGTGGAGACTAGGATGGTGTATAAACTGCATTCATCCATCTTGCAAGGATGATGCTTCTGTTCTTCCATCAACCTCCCCAAGAGCTGATGGGGTTTGTGTGGGGTTGGTGGGCTTTGGGAAATCAAAATGGGGCAGTTGTATTGCTCAGAGCAGTAGTTCCCATAGAGATGGTGGTGCTCTGTTCAGATGTTGCATGCCAAAATTAAGCTTTTTCCCTCTAGGCTTCCTTCTGACTAGTGCTGTAGTCATAGTGCTGTGGCTGGTAGTAAACCTCCTGTCATTTGTCATCCTCTCTGTAAAGGTCTTGAGCAGTGCAGAAGACATTGCAGTGGAGCTGGCTACTGAGAAAGCCTGTGGCTGGCTTTCTGCCAACATTGCAGGTGAGTCTCCTTGCCCTGAACCAGGCCTTCTAACCTGAGCATTGCACTCTTTTCTGAGATCAAGGGGTAGAGTTTATTCCAGTGTTACAAAGTACTTGGTCCTGCTCATTTTTCATTTAATGGGAAGCATGCACTTGCTATGTCCCTCCTTGTTTAGGAATAAGAGGAATAATTTCTAGCTCCAAGAACCTTATCCAAGATTTTAGGATTTTTCAGGCTTGGCCCATGCAAGTGATTTTTTTTAGTTTGGGAGGCTTGTAAGATGCTGAGAATGAATCCTGCAGAAAGATGCTTCTGGAAGTGTCACCTAGCCTGAAGTTGTAGCACTTCCAACATGATACAGACAGCTGCTGTCAAGCACCCTTCTGGTCCCCATGTGCAGAATGCTTCTGTAGTCTTCTGTGGAACACCCACCTCTTGGACTGGGTGTGTTCTCAGCAGGCTGAAGGCAGCTATAATCCTTTTACTCTGTAATTGTGCTCTGGCAACTCTTTAGAATCTCTGAAAACCCATTGTTCCAGGAGGCTGTGCCAAGAATCTGAGGAGGAATACCCAGCACTGTTTGCAGCAGCAGGAGTTCAGTGGTTTGGAGGCTGCTCAAAACTTATTTGGGTAGAAAACATATGGCTTTCATGGGCACAGTGGTTGAACTGGGGTGATCATGCTGAGTCAGCTTTCTTCCTGAAAGAAGAAACTGGCATTGCCTCCTGGCTTAGCTACTGTGTTCATTAAACCTGCTGAAATGTTTTGATTGGAAAATGAGATGTGTGGTCGTGGGTGGCTGCCTTTAGAGCTCTGGGTTAACACACTCTTCACCTCTGCTTCTGCCCATTAACTCCATTAGCTTGGAGTGAGAGGGGTTTGAAGGTGTGAACTGGCCTTTCCTCCTTGGCCATGGCCCTCAGAACGAGAGACTAGTGAGGGTGGTGTCTGGAAGCAGCTGTCTGCCTCACTGGAGAGAAGCTGAGGTAGACAGGATTTGTTCCCTGTTCTTTCCAGCACTCATCAAAAGAGAAGTGAAGGCAACGTTCAACAGAATGCTGAAGGTCCCAGGGGTGGCTGTGCCTGGTGAGGATGCCCTGGAGCTGAGAAGGGACTGCCCCCCAGGCTGCCAGCACCGCGCCCCGTTTCCCTCCCAGCTCATCAACGAGATGAAGGTACAGAGGGTTTGCTTCATGGCTCCCCCTGACTCCCTTCTGGTTTTTCACATTGGTGGGGTTTTTCTGTTTGGGGAGGGACTGTTTGCAAGGGCTTGTAGTGATGGGACAAGGGGTAGTGGGTTCAAATGGGAAGAGAGCAGATTTAGATTAGAAATGAGGAGGAAGTTCTTCCCTGTGAGGGTGGTGAGACACTAGAGCAGGTTGCCCAGGGAAGTTGTAGATGCTCCATCACTGGAGGTGTTCAAGACCAGGTTGGATGGGGCCTTGCACAACCTGGTCTCCTGGGATGTGTCCCTGGCCATGGCAGGGGTTTGGAACTAGATGATCTTTAAGGTCCCTTCCAACCTAAACCATTCTGTGATTCTCTTTTTGTGGAGAGTCTCCTGGTCTCTGTTTAGAGGCAGTGCTTCCTGCTGGTCCTTTCAGTGCTGTAGAACTTTCCTGGGAGACAGTCCAGTCTTACACACTGGGAATTCTACACTGAATTAAGTGTCAGATGAATCTGTACCAATCTGCTGAAAAATTTTTGCCAGTCTGCATCTGTACCTTCATTTAGCTACAGCTAGGGAGGATCAGAATGTCTTGAAGTGGTGGTATGGACTTAATTTCAGCCTTAGATCCAAGCAGTTTTCTATTGAAGCTCATTCAAATTACATTTTGGTCTTTTCTCCCAGGCTTTTAAAAGGTTACTGCCCTTGTAAAAATCATGCAGTTGTATCATATGAGTAACCCACAAGGAGAAGAGGAATTCTGAAAATCTCACATTTTTACCATTGTGTATTCTGACTGTTTTTTTGCTGCTGCTTCTCTATTTGAGTGACAATACTGGATCTCACTGTTACAGCACTCCCACTAGTTGTGTAAGAACAGGTACACACCTTTTAATGCCCTCTTGCTTGAGCTAAAATAAAAAGAGGAGGGTAAGGTACGTGAGGAAACCAGGGGCTTTTTCTGTAAACTGTTGCTTTTTGAAGACATTTTTCTATGGTACCTTGAGATACAGCTTTTAATTTTAATTTATTTTATTTCTACATTTTTATTTCCATCCTGGTAAACTGCTGGTGATGCGAAGTGCTACCACATACAAAACTGGCTAAACCACTTTTCCTACCATAACCCTGTTAGTGCTCTTCATACTCAGCTTTATGTTGACACTGAAGCTACTTTTGAGAGAATCAGAGGACTCTGGATTTCTATAGGACTTCTACCCTCAATTTATTATTACTGTGCTATCAAATCTGTCTAGAGCTGTCACAGCTACTTTTGAGAAGGATGAACTTCCTTCCAGTGAAAGCCCTCACTAACTGACTTCATAACATTAGTGGGAACTATGGTAGAAAATCAGAGCTAGGTGGGGTTGTGAAAAATTTAGCTCTTACCTGTCTTATGAAACGAGGATGATACTGGCTTAGATTTATTTTTTTCTTTAATGAGCACCTTAGGACTATTTATGAACTTCACTGTCACAGGCTGAAAGATCTGTTTGTGGAAGTGCAGGATGCTAATGGCTGAATTACTGCTGTCTGTCTTCATCAAGGATGTGCTCTGTGTTGCTGTGGGCCCACGGGATGAGGGGGAAGTGATTGACCACGCCTGGCTGGAGTGCTTGCTAGGAAGACTGAGTCAGACCCTTCGATGCAGAAAGGTAGGAGTAGTGAAAAACCAAACAAAAAAAGCCCTTGAACCACTTTGTGCTTTCTTCATACCTCTGAACTTGTTAGTTGGCCTTTTCTCACAGTCAGTTTCAGTCGAATGCTTTTTGTCTGAGCAAAAATGTGACAAAGTTGCACTGGGTCTTTTTTTTTGTTTACATTGAGAGCTGCATGTTACTTAAAATCAGCCTTTGTGTATCCCCTTTTCCTGTACCATCAGTTCTTGTCTTTCTGTCTTTAATGTTCTCCTGATGACAGCTCTGTGCTTCTTGCTGCAAATTGCCTTTCTCTGGTGTCTTTATCCCTGTTCTGTCTACCCTGCAGTATGAGGACAGAGATACAACATTTCTTTCTGTGTCTTCCAGTTCATGTGTCCCACATCAGAACAGCAGCTGGCAAAGTGCACAGTGGAGTTGGCTTCTTTGCTGGGTAAGTCAGCCATGATAAGCTATTTAAGGCTGAAATCTGTTATTACAGTGCTCCTAAATCCTTGGGGTCAGAGACTTGGGTATTTAGAGCTCGTGGGTGTTCAATTGTCTTTGGTGTCATTGAGTCTGCAGCTTTTTATCTGTCTGTTTGGGTGGTTGCTCTTATTCCCTTCCACCTTCTGCAGAACAGCGTTGCACTGTGACTAACCATCCCTCAGGTCTGGTGTTCTCAGTCCCATCTCCACTGGTCTTTATTGATCGATACCTTTCTTTCCATATGTGATATATTTTCCAGTATTTCTGCCTCAGATAAGTTACAGCTGAGGTTTGAGGTTTTTTTTTTTCCCCCTAAGAACATATTCCCTTAAATTATGTTTTTGTGGCTCTTTTTGGACAGAATGAAAGTAACTTTTTTCCTGTGTATTATGACTTCTGTGAGTATTTCCAGTTTCTTGCTCTGATGTGTTAAATACAGTGTTTTTCTCAGCAGGATCTGGTAATCTGGATGCAGGTATTTTTCTCCCTGGACAGCCTTCTGATTTCCTGGGTTTAGACCTTCTTTGGAAGTTTTAAACATGGTTCATTCTTTCAGAAAGCAGTTCACATCTGAATATTGTGAAATCTCATTCTGGGGGGCAGCAGTTGAAATGTGCCCCTTCCATTAGCCTGGACCAAGGAAGATCTGATATCTTCCCTCTGAGTGTGTTTAGCTGCAGCTGAACACTGTTCAGCTTTTCTTTCACTTGTATGGAGTCATGCAACTCTGCCTAGAGTCAAAACTGTGACCCACTATTTAATCTGTTTATAGATTTAAATGTTGTTTTCCTGTGTTACTCTCCTCTCTTTTGGTGTAACACCTAGGTCCTCTTTTATTAAACATGACTGACTTTTATTTGGACACCTTTCCAGACTTGGGGCTGTATGCCAACAATGAGTGGTGTTCTTTGTCTCAGTAGTATAAATCTCTTGTGTGTGTGGTCTCAAAGCCCATAATTCTGTATGTTTCTAAACTCCAGTCCTCTTAGGCTCACTGGTTTGCAATTACTTAGTGTTTCTTCTTCAGTGACTGTTTAGATACCAACAATGCAACATGTGTTGTTGGACCAAGGTGGTGACTATGAAAGGAAAAGAATGCAGCTACAGGAGTTCACCTTGCTTCCTTTCCTTACAGTTTCAGATCGTGTTCCGCTGAGTCTTGGGACTGAGTCCCCAGAGAAGAGCTCTGAGAGGCTGCGTGTAAAGAATAATCCCTCCTATGGCCTGCTCAAACTGCTGCTTTCTGTCTGGAGGGAGGACTTTGGGACACCTGTTCCTGTGCAGCTGATCTTCAGCAAGAAGAACATGGGTTATCTTGCAGAAGTTCAGCAGCGAGAGGTAAAGCCTGTAGCCATCTGTGGAGCTGCAGTTGCCTGCTCTGGTCTGCTGGAGCCATCTAGGAGTCCTGCCTGCCTGCAGCACTGACTGATGGCTGGGTGAAGGAGCCCTGGGCCTGCTCTGCTGGCAGCTGGTGTTGCTCCTGCAGGGACAGAGGAGAGGGCTGCACGCTGTCCCTGTGTGGTACCGGGCTGAGGGCCTGTCAGGAGGACAGGGTTTGATTGAGGAACAAGTGGCCAAATGGCCCCTTTGGCCTGGGAGGTTAGGGGGCTGGAGGCAGGTGACTGCAGTTGGTGCATTCATGTGGCTCTTGCCAGCATTCATCGCTGTGTGTGTTGCTGTTACATCCTGCAAGATCCCCAACTGTGGAGCTGAAAATCACCTTACACAGCTGCAGGCTAAAACCAGCTTGTTTCAGAGGGTGAGAGTAGAATTCTTCAAGCTGTTCTTAACATGCATGAATATTTGGTGTGTTTGGAAACTGATAATTAGAAATGTTGAGACTTTCTGGTGGCTGTAACACATGAACAGAAGGATTTTGTTCACTGCTTTCATTGCCACACCCGGAGAAACAATGTGCTTTCTCCTTTCATTCCTTTTCTCAGCATTCTGATGCAAGAAGAAAACCATGAATTGTCATAGGGGTAAAGAAACAAACACAAAATCCATTTCTTTTTGAGTTTTTAATGATTTTTTTTTTTTCTCTTCTGCAGTGGGACTTGTTCCTTTTCATGCTCCATGGCCTCGTAGAACACGAGCTGATGAGAACTAGTGAAATAGAGAGTTGTTTGCAGAGCCTCAGAGGGCTCCCTTGGCCCTCAGTAAGTAATTAGATGTGTGTGAACAGTAAGTGAAATAAAAAGTAAAGCTACATAAACAGTCCTTTTAGTTCTGCTTCAGGTAGAGGAAGCCCAGAACCTTCCCTACCTACAGTTCCTGCCTGAGACAGCAGCAGGACTGGCTTCCAGCAAGCTTGCTGCCGTTACTCGTGTTTGGCTGAAATCTGTACTTGCCTGAGTCCCAGCACTGGCCAGGCCATGGAAATGTTTCTAAGAACACTGTAAACCAGCTTGGCATGCAGCTGGCTCCCTTACCAGAGCTCACTTCTAGCCCGAGTGTGTTTGCTGTGCTCCAGCTGAGAATGGTGTCCTGGGAAGGGTCTTAACTGACCAGACTTGCATTTAAACCTCTGCTTCCTACCACCCGGATGTGAGAGGAATGCTGGAAACCTCCCAGCTCACTTGCCAAGAACAGTATTTCAGAGCTGGTGAGCACTTGCATATTGGAGATGTCCAAGCATTTAACCTGTGGCAGTGATCTTTCCTGAGAAGGGCGTGGGGATTAGAGGGGAGGCTGAAGGTGTACACCTACAGGCATTCATCTTTGCCAGCAGTGTTGTAGCTTGTCTGGGTTTCTGCACTAGAAAACCATCAACAGCTTATTTAAGCTTGTGAAAGTCTTTACTAGAAGAAAGAAGTGAGCCTCTTTGTTGGCATCTGTTAATATAAGGGTCCTCTGGCTTGTCTGTGTGTTACAGGATTTCTTAAAAGAACTGGAAATGCTCTCCAGAGTGTTTGTATCAGGTGGTCACAGAGGAGAGCCCAGGACGAACCCTTGTGAGCTGACCAGACAATCTCTAGGCACTGTGACAGCGCAGAGCTAGTGGAGGTGGAGGCTCTGTGGACAAAAGTTACCAGTGAAGATGCAGATGGAATTTTCAGTGTTTCTGAATGCATTGGGAGCTCGTTGCTGGGGGCACACTGCAGAGAAGAGAGAGGTCACTGTGCAAGACCTGCACTGGCCTTTCTGTTGGTGGATGTTTTGCCGCGGTGACTATGCGGAAGGATTTACATCAGCAAATGGATCTCCAAGTCAAAAGTCCTTTAAGCACCTTGATCGTGGCTCAGAGCAGCCATTTCTTAAACTCATGGACTCTATTTGCACAGCAAGGGGCTGTGACCCAACCCAGGAATCGAATTGGGTGGACAAGTTACTTTGTGATCAGAGCTGGTTTCCTGGTGGCTCTCTGTTCTCCTCTCTTCATGGGATTTCTCACTGTCAGGGGAGGGAGAAGGTGAAACCTGTATGACACAGAGATGAGCCTATATTTATTTTTCATTGTAACCTCGATTTCAAAGATTGAATTTTAATTTTTTTAAGACTCATTTTAAAAGTTAAACCATATTAAATATATACACCAGAAGATGGATGGCATTATTCTTAAAGGATGTAGATGCTTAAGAGTTTTTCCATGTCTTGTTGGAAACAGAACTTGTAACTTCCCAGGGTTTTTAACAGAAATAAGGGAGAAAAATATCTGTTTATATTTTTTACTGAAGACAGTATTTGTAAGACACTTTTATAGTATGTGAACATAAATGGCATCTGGTTGCTATTCACTTTTTTTTTTTTTTTATAATCCTTCTTGCCTTGAGTTTGGGGTTGTAACAGATAGGAAATGCAGCAAGAAAACTACAGCTTGGAAGAGCAGATGAAAACGTAGTGAAAAGCACTGATGGCCTCTGGAGAACTGGTTTGGAAAGGAATCCTTTGTGCAGAGGACAGGGGGTGCTCTCTGCCCTTGCAGGTAAATCACCACCAAGGGTGTGACCTGTTCACCCTGCCAGGTATTTCCTTGACCTGGGGGTTGTGGTAGGGGCTGCTGGTGGCTAGCAGGGTGTGACTAGGTGCTCATTAGCTGTCTCAGGGGGTTTTCCTGCCCCTGTAGCAGTGGGGATATTTCCTTTTGTCTAGGAGTGTCCTTAATTAGAGCAGGGTTTGTTTGTTTGTTTTTTTCAGCAAGCAGATACTGTGTTAAGAACAAGATCTGGACAGGGTGAAGTCCAGGGCTTTCTAGCTTGCTAATTAACTTATACCTTCCTTGTATAAGGCAAGAAAAGGAAACGTCTTGGAGTCAGTCATTTAAGAAAAACTACAAACAGCTCTAATTGGGTAGGACTGTGGTTTCTGTTAAAATGTGTGCTAGGGAGAGAGAGAGACCATAGAGCAACATCAGTGTCTGAACTGTACTGAGCTTTTTCTTGACTTGGTTACAAAGCACTGCAGTGAAAAATTCTAGCTGCATGTCTCATTTCAGGGGTTTTCTGAAGCAGAGGGTCCCTGGAAATGAGTCTGCTGTGCACACAGCAAGGACATGGTACTATGGATTGGAATAGCTGTACACCATAGCTCACCACGCCTGGTCCCCCAGGCCAAGTGTTGTGTGACAGTCTGCTGCAGAGCTCATTTGACGTTGTTCTTTGTCATAATAAACCTGATTAACTGTCCTGTGTTGCAGTTGTTGATACATCACCTCTTTGTACTGAGGCCAAGTACAAACAAACAGATGTCTTGCCACAAAGCACAGGCAAGATAGGTTTAGGGACTGCTCCTGCCTGGCCTGCTGCTGCTTTGCTTAGACTGAAACATAACTTCACTTTGTGATTGTGGGCGGTGCTAAAAGGGGGAAGAAGCTGGAATCCATAATGGTTAAAGTGTGCTCAGCTCTGGCACCAACTTTACTTGGGTGTTCCAAAACAGCCTGCACAGCTACCATGGCTGAGGCTGTTCTCAGGAAATCCACATACCCGAGTTGCCCTTACAGCCTCTGTGACTGAACCTCGGACCAGCCGTGCAGCTGTACCTGTGCAGGGAGCACTGTGAGGAGGAGGGAGCTCACTGGGTCAGGGTGTGTGGCCTTCCTCCTGCCAGTCCCTACTGCAGACTCCTAGCACTGGAAGGGAAATGGCATCATGTTGATTTCCTCCTGCTGTGCAGCTCAGAGGCGCTGTGGAACTGCACTGGGGATGAAGCTTCAGCCATTTTCACAACAAACCAAAAATACCCCCTGTTGCCTCTCTGCTGTGTCACAGAAACCCTGTTTAAGCAGCAACCAGCTTCTTGACTCCTCAAATTCAATTCCAGGCACGTCCCTTGGCAGGCAAGTAGGAGCTGCTCATCTCTGGTGCCCAGCTAGCCTTGGTTCCTTCATCCAGCAGGATTCCATACGTGGCCATCTGAGCTGCAGCAAAGCAAGGTGGGGCACGTTTTCTCGTGTAGAAAATACCATTTATTGTGGATATGAAAATAGCAATCTTGATTCAGAGCAGAGATGCAGCAGTAGATGGTACAACACAACTGGTTCCATCATCTACTGCTCGGCAGTAATTACAGGAAGTTGGGTTTTGCCCACTGTAGATTAACAAATTAGATATATGCTGGGTTTTTATTTCTTCCTTCCAAACAAACCAATGCTGTACATTAACAGGTACCATAAAATGTTATATTTGCAAAAGAAAACATATAAATAGGCTTTTTAGTATCAATTGAAGATTGTATTAAAAAAAAAAAGTTACATTAATTCAATACCGATAAAAATAAACCTCAGCTTTGACAGCATATAAAAACAAGCATATATAAATAACTTAATTTGTAAACATAGAAAAAAATCTTATGTATATATAAAAATAAACATCTGATGCACTGTACAATAAGACATTATCCTTCATAGGCACCGGCATCGTTGATCAACAAGGAGTCCCCCTAGATGTTTTTCCTACAAAACCTGATTTATCACTAGTGCCATGTCCAAACCTAAAGGGAAAAAAATGTGAAGCACTGAGCAAATCTTTTGTGGGTTGCATGAAGGCCTCCCTTACCTCCTCCAGCCAGCCATGGAAGCAGCACTGGGGACAGCCAATACCCTCTGCTGCTGCTTTTTTTTTAATTTTCTTTTTTTTTTGGGCTTTCTTGGTTTCTT